GCACTGGGAGCAGGGAGCAGGGCACTGGGAGCAGGGCACTGGGAGCAGGGAGCAGGGCACTGGGAGCAGGGAGCAGGGCACTGAGAGCAGGGCAGCCACAGCCGCACGCAGGAGCAGGAAGGTGTCAGCCTGCTCCTTCATCCCTGCTAGAGCCCCAATCTTGATACGCTGCCAGGTTTTGAAGTGCTTAAAAGTTTCTTCCTTTTACAAGACATTTTAGTATCCACAGGCGAGGGGTATTAGGATGCAAGAAGGTATTGATGTCACAAACAAACAGCAAAGTTTACCACCCACTATCTTGGTTGTCTTCTGCAGATGGTTCCATTTTACTTTTGGTCTGCCACGATTTCCAGATGCTAGGGAGAAAATGTTTATTTCTTGGGAAAATGTTAATTAATGAAGAATCCAGAATCTTTTTAGCAGCAACTACTCAGTAGCTGGAGGAAAAAAAACATAAACTCCATTTTAAGACTTTCTCAATGCTTTAGATTTACAGCAGGGCTTTTCAACAATATTCTAAATGCTAGCTCTAGAAGAACTATATTTAACAAAGGTATTCCAAAATGTATCACTTACACACACAGACACAAAAAGATCAAATGGGGAAAAAAAAGAAGGAAACATAGAAAGAAAAGAGAAAAGACATATGATCAGAAGTATATGCAAATGGGACAGCAGAACTGTGGTAGAAGAAAGATACAGGTGGGCAAATGGCCATTTTTACTCTCTCTGAAAGAGGACACAAACTTGTAAGTCTGATTCAGAAAAGGGAAGAGGATTATTGATGGATGTTCAAAGGCTGGATTTAGGATTATTACTGGAGTAAAGTTCAAATTGGGAGTGTGTGCTGGGGAAGGCTCTGGGCATCTCTTTCACTGGTGGCTGCTGAAGCTGTTCTAAAAGGCAGCCTGGCATGGCTGAGGCTGAGCTCCTGTTTGGCCAGACCATGTCAGAGATTTGTCTGTGGCAGAAGTGCTGCTCTAACAGTAACACGTGCCTGGATGTGCAAATCCTGCACAATGGYCACCGGATCTCAGTGTGACCGGGGGTTTCTAAGGTTACCAAGGTCAGATTCGGGAGTCAGAAGCGCTGCCGAGCACAGCAGCTGTACTGACAGCACATTCAAACATCAGCACTGCACAGACACAGTGGCTGWATCTGCTTTTCTCTTTGATGTGCTTCAACTACAGACTTTCCCCCCTGYATTTCCACAAAATCTACACAGATGCATCGACCAGTTCAGAAGTAACCGAGCACTGAACTTCCCTGCACAAAAGGACTCAGATGTGAGCACCCTTCAGGACAGGCAAAGGAAAGGAGCTGCAGGAGGAGGCCGTGCCTGTGGGATCAGCTGCTCCTGCTTTGCTGTTTGCCTGCACGGGGCCCTTTCTGCTCTGGCACAGCAGCAAATGCAGCTCAGCACTGCTGSTCCTCGGGCACTGGCCATTTCTGGCCTGGCTTCACAGGGAGGAGCAACACTTCCTGTGCTTGCAACATGCTCTGCTCCTGGAGAACGTGGSTCAGGTTTTGTTCTGAGGAAGGCAGAAGAGTTTTGCCACTGTTTTTCAAGCAACACATTGCCTATGAGRAGAGAGAAATTTAAAAAAATTCACTGATTTACCATGTTAAAAAAAGATGGCACATTTATTGCTACATAAATGTTATATACATAGTGTTTTCTGTTACATTGACAGAAATTTTTTGAACTTCTTGCTGCTGGTTGGAAAGGTTTATCAGCAATACCTTGAAATTTGACACAGGGTACAAATCTGCAATAAACCAACAATGGAAACTGGAGAACAAGATGAGAAGCAATTCATCTCGGACAATTAGCTCTTACAATACTCCATAGGTACTACACGGTATGCTAGAACCCTACTATGGTCTTACAATGCTATTGTAAATTTCTGATATTAATGAACAGGTTATGGTAAATAACCCTACATTTTTACTACCTAATATAGTAAAATAAAGTAAGAAACTTTTTACTGAAAACTTTTTTTGATTTCAAAAATCTAGAAAGAGTAATATTTAGAATTCAAGAAATTTTCTTACAAGATTATTGTATAAAAGACTAGCTACAGTGAAAAATAAGCCAAATGTTTTTTTCTTTCTATTTTATGAAGGAAAGCTTCTGGGCATACTGCAAAGTCTAATATAGCCAAAAAGACAACAAGCTTAGAAGGAAAAAGGCCAGGCAGTGGCACGTGATCACTTTCACACGTCATAAGCAACAAATTCCGTTTAGCTGATAAACACTGAAATGAAGAACAAGGCCACAGATATAATCAGGTGTTATTTGATGATATATGCAAATTAAAGTAATAGAAATGAGTCCACTAATTCCACAAACTGTTTTGTCAGGAACCATCCAAAACAAACTTAAATTCATTAGTTTATTTTATCAATCCATCTTTTGTTCTTTCAAATTAAATGACTTCATAAAAATTATAGTTTTGTTCCTGTTTTGTGTGTGAACCAATTGCCAGTGATGAAAGATGCTCTATATAAACAATAGCTCAGACAACCTTGGCTTAGGAAATTTCCTCCCATGGTCATTGCAGTGGAAGACACTTTCCATGGAAGTTCAAAGGGATTTTAACCATTTCAACACATCTGTGACAAAGGAATACTTATGGACACTGTTCTGGTGGAGAAACATTTAAAGGTTTAATGCTAATATGGCTTGGGATGGGGGTATTTGCATTTGATTCACACTATTTTTTTCCACTGACAAGCCATACAACATGACATGATAATTAACGTGTACAGGAAGGAAAAACTGGTGACCATTGCTCTTAAGATTCCATTACATAATAAGCCCACCTTGCTGGTGGTTATATCATCACACTACCTGCCACGGTGAATTCAGGATTTTACTATTCACCAAAGTTACAGCCTGAAAAAAAAATCTCCTTTGTATTTTAATGCATTTTGTGCTTACATACAGCTAACACTTTACATGTACTATATGTAGTACTTACTGCTCGGAAAACAAAGCAACTCTAACAAAGTAGATTCTCCCCACCCAATTTACACTTCACGTTACAAGCTTTACTATGAAGCCTAGAAGCCTAAAAAGGTTTTGTTTATAATTAGAAAAAAAAAACGTTTGAGGAAAGTCTGAGGGAAAATAAAAATCACTTTTTAAATCCAAGAAATGTTATGGTCACAGTATTGCTCCAGCCTGCAGCCTTCACAAGGCCTCTGAGTGGCTTGAGGCACAGAGCTCAGTACGGAAGGGGAACTGTGACCATAACTGTTCAGATTACCAGAGATCAAAAATAACATAAAAAAAGCTATACCAAGGAATAGTTTCCTATTGCATGGAAAACACTAAGTCATATGGCAAAAGGAGAGGAAAGGACAACAAAAGACTTTTCCCTTCCTTTTTTAAGACACTAATAGGTATGCTGGGAATGCTACGGGTCGACGGTTGTCACTGCTTTGTTCTCTGAATGTGAACACCTTTAGTAAATGCTGGCATTCAGCTGAAATTTATCAGCTTTTAACATGTTAACTTTTCCCTTTATATGTAGACCTTTACAGTTCCATAACAATAAATAAAATTTGTAGTTACAATGCATTTGTCAATTCAGTTTAGGCACAAGGCAACTTCCACAATGAGTGGAGAGATCACAACAGTCTCTGATTGTGCAGAAGCGACACACTGCTTGCAACAGACTGATATGTTCAGAGTATCTCATGGGCTGAAATTCTGTCTGAAGATCTTGTATCTTCACTCCTGATGCAGGTGTTGACCAGTAGTTTTGATCATAAGATTGCATTTGGGTTTCTTGCTTCAAGTGTTTTCTYCTGTCAGGTTTGTGTCTTCATATAATGTTAGTTGTCTGTGTCCTTGTGAAGAAAGGTCACCTTCTGTGTATCCTACCAATAATTCTGGAATTCTAAAAACACATTTAGGAGAAGAAAGAGTTTATTAGGAAGATCATAATGAAAAAGCTTAGTATCAACAACAGAGATCTAAACTGGATTTGGTGGCATTTTCAGTCATTTAGGTGCAAAAGAAAACCACATTGAGAGACCCTGAAATCCCCCTTTTCAGAACATATTATTATATTGAACACGATATAGTGAACAGATGACTCTAAAGAACCTTCTGTTTGGCCTCTCTGGATATGGGAGAAAGAACAATCTTCACATCTCAGCCCTTCAGTTTGTGCCTGACTTTGCTCCAAGTGGGAGGCAGTGGAAGTTCACTCCCTCCTGAAGGTACATTGCCATGTTCCTGCACAGCGTTTTCTGTCAACGTCACACTTCAGTCAACACACAAAGTTACTGCTATTAAAAAAAGSAGATATCAAACTTTTGAAAGTGTTTCTTTATATGGCAAAAACAGACTAACTTGGCTGTAAATCAAAAATTATCTGACAATTCCAAAGTTGCCCATTGCTCTGGTATAAAATGAAACGTATTAAAGAAATTCAAAGCATTAAAAATTATAACATATACACAACAATAAACCTCCTGAAACATAAAATTTAGTAAAGTTCTGGATTAAAACAAGGGCACCAACTATTTTTTGGAAGTGTTCTTTTTTTGAATACTCTTTTGGGAAGTAGCAACAGCTCTACTGGAATACTCAGTTTTTTAAAAAAAACAAAATTTCACAACTATTTAGAAACCCAACCAACAACATGAATAAACTCAAAAGACTGATACATACTGGGCTACCTTGCAAAGCTGAAAACATTCCTTTTAAATCTTAACTATCTTCACCACTACAGACTGTGACTTAAGACAGTTCCCAGTCTCTGCTGGGCAAATGAGAGGAGTTGGAATGACTGGTCTCGAGGCAGAGAGCAAATCTCTCTGGGATGAGGAGTCCCTGGAACTYTGTATCAGCACTGGGAAACAATATGTGGATTTTTAAACGAACTAATGTGATATTTAGACCATTTAAAGATGTATAATTCATCTCTATTAAGCTTGGCTTATCTAGCAAGCTGTTCACTGTTCCTCTGATGTCCTGCCAAGAAGGCCACCTGAGCCAAGAGATGGAGCCATTGGCAGTGAGGCMTGGAAATGAAGAGACTGATGACGATTTCTTGGGGTTTTATTATAAACCCAAACAAATCTGCAGCCTTCTGCTCAGAGATAYGAAAGCACAGAGAAGTTTGGTGCTRCTGGCAGCYCARGAACCAAACCCCACCATATCCARGTGTCTCCTGTACTTCAGCCAACACAAAGCAACAAGAGCCATCCCCTCACGTACCTGGCTGATGTTCACATATGACCCATAGGGTTGGTAGTTTCACTCAGGCCAGGGTGGCTTCCTGGGTGTGGTGTTGGCGGCTCTGCCGATACGGCAGAAACTTTTTCTTCTTCCCTTCTCTTAAGGCAGGCTGCTTTAGGGTTTAGGTTTCGTTCTGTAACAGAAAAACCAGAGTTCTTAACATCCCGTATGCTGACAGCACAGGCAATACCAACACATTAACCCTGGAGCAAAAATAGCTCTGCAGCTTCCCTTTGCTGTGTTCACCTGCAGGTGTCCAAAGCTGCAGACAATCACTACTGAAAGTCCTGCCACACAGCTCCTAAATTGGTATTTAAGAAAAAGAAAAGACAAAAAGGCAAACCCAGATCCTTCCAGTACTCTACATGCACCTTCAGAAACTTTTAAAAAGCACCTCTTTCACCATAAGACACTGAAGTGCAAAATAAGAAGTGTCTGTAATTTACAATATAATAAAATGAGATTTATGCATTTTGTTGGTAGGCTGAAGTCTTCCCAACCTCCCTGACATCACACTTGTTTCAGTAATGTTGCTGCTTCCTTCCTCCCAGTCAGTATTAGCCAGCTGTGAGGGCAGGGGAGGCARCACACCCTGAATGGATTGTTCTCATCAGCTTCGATCTGTGAAATCACCACGTGCCCATCTTGGTTAAATCAAAAGRCTGTGATGAGTCACATTCAGCAGGAGCATTTTTTCCAAACCCTATTTCCTCTCACATTAAAGTCAGTGTTTTATAATAACCAGCTGTGGACCAGCTATCAAGGTATTTTCATCAGTATGTTTCCACTTCCCCACTTAGCTTCAATAGATGTAGATTTGGATCTCGTTTCCAAATAATGACAGTTTCTTAAAGTCAACTGTTTCTGTTCTTCAAAATGGCTTTTCATGAATCAAAATCTAGAAGATGTAAGCTGCAGTGGCCCAAAAGACTCACAAAAAACATGTAATATATTCCACTGTTGAATTTAATCAACATTTTAAGGTATTTTCTAGCTGTCAGTGAATTCTGTTTTGCAGTTGGAGATGGCAGATACAATTATAACTGCAAGTAGTCTGCCAAAACTGAACAGACAGCACAAGCCCTTCTCTTGCACTGTACAGGCACCCCTCTAGTAATTGCAGTTTACTGACCCCAGTGCATTTTATCTCATCTGACAGAGACTATTTTGGATGGACTTGATAGTTCTGCTGTCACCAAAGTCATTATCAACAGCCTCCTACTGCATTTCCTTAAGCATGAGAACTCCTGAAGAGTCTACTGGTAAAAAAAAACAACTGCTAACTTTTCTTAATCACAGTTTTCTTTGTCTAACTGTGGCTTGCCTTGAAGTTTTAAAGATGTAATTACATGGAAACTTTGAAAGGAAGTTAATTTACAGTGATTTAGGAAATGGAGATAAAACCCCTGGCCTACACTGAGAGCTTAAATCTGCAATGGTTCATTTTGAATAGCACCAATCACAAAATGAGAAGCTTCATTACCAGCAGAGAGAGGAAATTGTTTATGCAATTATCTAATGCACTGTGCAAGCTCCTGTGGGTGTCACACAAAGCTGCGGTCACTCACTGGCAGGAACAGGTGCAGAGGGAGATGGGCAGGACAAGCGGGAGCCAGGGTCTCTCCCAGGAGGCGCCGTGTGCTGCCCAGCGCTGCCTCGGACACACAGAGCGCACAGGAGACGGCAACCGGAGCGAGGGAAAGGTCCCAGTGTCAACTGCCTGTACAATGGGGACACTTAACTGTTGGTGCACTGTGGGATAAAGATTCCTGCCACACATACAAGGGTTGGAAGTTCTCTGACCAAGATYTTATTAACATGGAGCTTTTTGTGAATTACAGAATATGTGAGAGCAGAGATGGACTTAATGCTTTTTAAACATCAAAACCCACACTTGAYTAATGTCCCTCTGACTCCATAATACTCAACCTTATGGTTCTAGACCATGGCAGGGATTTTCAGACCACAACAGTTCCCAAGATCTAAGTCTCGGAGAAGCTAAACTGGGGTTTACAACAGCCCTAGCTGCTGTCTCATGTGCAGAACAATTACTCTGTGCCTTGGAAGAGCTCTGGCTGGAAACTGCATGTTTCTYTACTGAAAACTGGATCAGTAAAAACTGCCTGAAAACACAGCATCTCGTTGTTACTGCACAAARTACATCAGTTTGTGTTAAGTTAGTTATTTAGTCCCTTTCAATAAACTTCTAACTGCTGCCTGGATCTTCCCTGCAAAATGCAAGCAACAAATGAGAAAATGAAGTACAAATGAGGCACACAAAACTAAAACATTGTTACCACTCAGTCACATCAGCGGTTGAAAGATGCAATGCTTTCAGCAAATACAACCACTGACATATCCCCATCTCAGACTTTTCCAGTTGCTGGCTGCCCTTCCATCAGTGAGACACAAGGGAAGATGGCTGCTAATGAGTCCCAAACAGCACRACATGAGGTCACTCATCCGGGAAGTGCCACCTCCACAGAACAAGAGCATTTCCTTTGGGAGGCACCCACAGGCACCACCGAGTCCGAAGGCCAACCAGCTCCGGGCTGATTAAAAGTTACAACAAGATGCCCCAAAACTTCAAAATGTCTTTGACAAAAATATAAAGGGAGATTAAAAGTCAACTGTGGCTTCACCAGCTCACAAGAACAGAACAGTTGAAGAACCAAACATGATTCCTAGAACCATCTCCCCTTACGAGAGTGAATGGCACAAAGTTTTCCTTCTGCACTTCCCAGGAGGCACATTGTTTCTTTCTTGGAAAATTTTAAAGAAATCAGGGAAAGAAGATTCATGCAAACCCAGCTCTGATTAAATTAGAGTAGAAGTCAGTTTCCACCCTCCCCMGTACACATATAATGCAAAAACCTAAGTAAATGCAAATAAATTAACCTCATTTTAGTATTTAGCTATGTGGAGTTGATCTTAAAACAGGTCTCTTGTTGTTGCTAAAGCCTTGCTASKGCTAAACAAGYGCTTGTTTACGATTTATAGTAATATGTGTCAACATTCTAATTAATGAACTTAACTTGAAAACRTAGACTAATCGACCAGGAAAAAGAAAGGTCAAAGTATAAACTTTATACTCACTCCTTTTTTTTTTTTAAAGTAATTCTTGCTTTTTCTAAAGCACTTCTGCATCATTACAGAACAGCAAAACCACTTCCAGTAACTCGTGCATTTGGCTGTTCAGGTTACAAGAGAGCCACACTGCTTGATGGCCAAAGCTGCCACAGGCCCTGCTCCAGCCCCCAAGGCTACTGACCTCTCACTTGCTGCTCCAGGCTGAGGATCACTGCCACAGCCTGGTGGAGGATCAGCAGCTTYGTCTGCGGCTTCTCACTCTTCAGGTGCAGCTGGCACATGCGGCCGAGCTCCTTGAACGCCTCGTTAATGTCTCGCACACGCAAACGTTCTCGGGCATTATTTGCCATTCTTCTCTCCTTCTCTCTTTCTATTTTCTGCTCTGGGTTTAAATCCTCATCTTCATTAGTACTGCTGCAAGAAAACAATCATAACAGTATTTTGAAATATCACTGGCATTTCACACAAGTGATCCTGGTGCTGGTGCCAAATTTTCAGTTTCAATTTCAGAAATTAAACTTTCCACTTAACCATTTTATATTGAAGTATATTCAGATAACTAGGAAAGAGTTAGATATCAATGCTGAAGTCTTCAAGGAAATTCTTGTTGTTCCTTTCTCTGAAAACAAATGTTGAGTGGCTTCTGCCTGAAGAATATTGTCTAGAGCAGGTAAACATCTCTAGGAAAAGTTGCAGCAACACACTGCTGCTTGAAGATGTAGCCAAACCAGTTAAAGAGGCAACTTAACCACCTTGTCAGGTGGACAACAAATAATTTTCAACAAAGTTTTTGCTATTTTCCAAAACGCCAGCTTATATGAAAATGCACTTAACAAATTTTCAATTTTATGTGCTTATTTGAAAGTTTTACTTTTGTTAAAGACCACACTGGCCAATTTTAGAACTATTTTTTCTTTTACTACTCAGTGTAGAGCTAAACAGTTATATTTAGAATTCTTATTTGACTCAAATGATATCAAGTTGCATAGCCTTTTTTAATATAGGATCATTCAATTTAGACTAAAACTGTGCAAAAGCTCTGTTCTACTAAAATTAACAATTTAAAATGCCATTAAACACATGTGTTGATACAGACTCTGCTGCCTGTGGTTGCAAAATTCCAATTGTTTCCTGTTCTCTCAGGAAACACTTGTGTCAGGCCTATCAGGCARATCCAGAAACATTTTACCCAGCATCAGCTCCAGGTTTTGTGTCAGTGGCTYGGGAGAGGACAAAGTGTTTGAGGATGATATTTGGCCATGGTGATCACTTCAGCCTCCAGGTCAGGAGCTGGAGCTCTCCACCACCACAGAGTCACATTTAGAAGCACAGCCCTGGCCCAGGTACAAAGTTCCACAAATTTCTAACATTGCCCCATCCTCTATGCTGGCTAGGACCCTCTGAATCTTTTGCTGCTTACAAGCAGGCATTAGGCATGGCACTGGTGTTTTTTCCCAGAAAATCCTCTACCTCCTCCTTGTATTTCAATTACCTTTTGAAATACATACAGATGCTATAAACTTTTTCTCTCCTTCAGCTGGTCTATGCACTRCAGTAACACAAAAGCCTTGCAATAAATCTATCAAATGTAAGGACAACGTGCTACTGAGCATCATCCAAGCACAGACTCTCCAGGTCATGTCAACGCACCTTGTTCTGCCTCGGGACGAGACCTTGATATCCTTCTGGGAGGACTCATCATCTGATTTCATGTCATCTGATGAGGGGGGTTCATGGATGTTTTCATCCTTCTCCTTATGTTCAGACTTGATTTCTGTTGGACCTATAGCCACAGACTGGGTCTGTAAGCCACCCGACAGTGCTGCAAGCAACCAGAGAGCAGGGTGAGTGTCACAACCCTGAAACATTGCACAGAACCTTGAGCWCATAATGGCACTGAGGGGCCAGAGCTGAGCACGAGTCTGGGGAGACAACAGGAAGGGCTAACAGAAACAAGAGATCCTGGTAACACTGCTGTAATTGGACATGTGTCACGGGTTATAAAGCAATCACAGCTCACAGGGCAGCTTGATTGGTAACAGCTTAGTCTAAGGAAAACACTGCTTAAGACAAAAGGACATTGAGTGAAGCAGGAAATTTGCACCTGATGTCTGGGCTGCAAATTTAAGGGCAGAACTGCACTGCCATCGAGGCCTGGGTTTAGGCTGAATGTGCAACACCCTCTAAATGGTGCTAGCATGCTAATAAAGGAGCTGACGTCTGTTTTCTGCAGTTTACTTCTTCAGCTAAAAATGGAAGGAACTGTAAACGCTGRTGTGGAATGACCTCCTTCCATTGGCTGGGCTGAACTCTGGGCTCAGCCCACTCCACAGCCCTCCTGGCCAACTGGGCAAGGGCTGCAACTCTGCAAGGGGATCATGGCCCCTTAAGATGGAGGGACGTGGCTGTAATGCAGCCTTCTCTTCTCTTAAAACTATACTGAGAAAAGTCTTAAGATAGGGATGCCCTCAAAATTGTTGCAGGAGTYCCTAACAGAGGTGGTATATAGGATTTATTACAATTTTTATTTTTCAACATTATCTATGCYCCTATCCCTTGCACTGATGCCATTTTACCAAGATCTACAGCCTCACTGGCTCTGAAYTATGGCAGATCCTGTCCAGTATTTAATCCTAGAAAGTTACCTCGGTAGCTGTCTTGTGCTTTATGATTAAGTTCTGTGCTCTGAGCAGAAACGGTACTGGGAAGAACTGAATGGTTGCTGCTGAGGCTGACACCTTCTTCCCGGTGAGTCCCAACCTAAAGCAAGGCAAAGCAAAGATTTCTAATAAAGACATGAATCAAAGAAATAGTCCAAAARTAGAAGTTTAAAATACTGAAAGTATTTGCTGGATTAGAGATCCGAGTTGAAATTCTCACTGAGCAAAGGAAAGATTTAGTTGATAGATGCTGTTACAYCTGATTACACCATACTGGACTGTGTCTCAAGCAGTGACCAATACTGTGGAAYAAAATAATCCGGGTAAGTAACTACTCTTACCACCTATTTCCTGATCTGTTCCTTCATAATATACCATGATTAGATTTCTGAGCAGCAAGCATTGAGATGAAGAGTCTTGAAAAATTCTAATTTTGCATAAACTTGAATTAATGATACTTATGTGAGACAACTACAAATGTGCATATCTAACTTGAAGAGGCAATTTGTTAAAAAACTGCTGCTCAATACAGAATACTGTCATCAACTTTATTAAAAAATATTTGCTTGACAGAAAAGAGGTAAAGATACATTGCGCCTGTATTTAAATAATTTAGAACACAGACCATTTAAAGCTTTTGATTTCTAAAGACACAAAAGTCCTTAAATATATTTATACTATAACCAACATAATACAATTAAACAGTTAAAAAATTAACAAAGATGAGGGATTTTACTATTATTTGTATAGTTACAGAAACTGGCTACAGATGAAGCTTTTTATTGGAACAGCAGCAAACATGTCAACTAGAAGATTAAGCCTTTAATTAAATAGGTTTATTGCCTGGAGTTACACATGAGAACCACTGTTTTTCAATAAATCCTTCAATCCTAGTAAACTGCTGAGCTTTGAATCCCTTTTGAGTAATTAATGCAGCTTTTACCTTTCATGTCTTAATATGGGTTTTACCCAGAGAGAGATAAATACCCTTATGCAAGTTTATCCTTTGTTTAATATACACTTGTTCCTGTAAGCTAATGCACAGGAACAAAAAAAGGAAGGGGGAACCCCCCCTCYGCAACAACTCACAACTAATATCAGATCATTCCGGGCTGCTATTTGTATCCATTGTTCTGCAGAAAATCTCCTCTTGTATATCTGTTGCTATTTCAAGTATATTTTATCTTCCTCTGCGTGTAATAGGCTTTGTTTGTGAGAAGTTCTACTCTGGATACAGTCAGCCCAGCTCCTGCAAGAGTCATGAACTCGCTGGGAGGAAGGAGCTGAGCCTGGGTCTTTCAGCCTGCGAGACAAACTCTTTACAGCTGGAACATGAAGCTCGTTCTCACTCTGAACTTTTCAAAAATGAGTCTTTCCCTAATTCTGCCTTGCAGGTTATGTGTTTTATTTTATTCTTCTGGTCATGCTTAGTCCTAACACTTGAGGGTGCTTTTATTCAAGCTACAGACTTAATTGTTTCAAGGCCAGGTTTGTTCCGAAATCTACTACTTAAAAAAGGCAAAAAATTCTTAAAGCTGTGTACAAACATAGCAGCTGCCAGAACCCTGGCAACTTTCRAATCTAGAGCTAACCTAAAGGTGACAGACTAGCAAATCAGTTCTAACAAAGGCAGAGAGCAGATTAGAAATAAAAACCGAATTCAAGTCCATGTTCCAGTCTTTTGAAACCAAGATGTACAAATTAAAAGCATACAATTTAGATTAGCAGGATTTACACAGAAATCTTAAGAGCGAAAATGCTACAAAACTGACCATAACACTGATTTTTATCTCAGATCTACGATACACTAGAAAATCCAAACTGGCCGACAAAAAACCCAAACAAAATGACTAGCTGAAAGTCACTGCATCCCATGCAGAGGCCAACAGCTCCATTTGCTACAGGCACAACTGATCGGTGGCTACTTCAAACTATCAAAGCTTAAAGTATCTTAARCATTTAGTTCAGAAAATTTAGTTTGCTTTCCTTTCCCTGGACTCATACTACATAGAGAAAGGGCTCTCCCTATCTGCATTTCAATGGAGCACAACCTCGAGCTTCCTTTAACTCCTCTGAAAGGCGTCCGAGGCCATCAGCTCSGCGGCGCTCGGAACAAACGAGCTCTTGACATGTTTTATCGCTATTCTTTATAAGCGATTCGCAGCCAGGCGCTTTCCTAGCGCCCAGGGCCAGCTCCGGGGGCAGAGAGAGAGCTGCGGGCGGCTCCCGCGATGCCCGGTGCCGGGACTCGCAGCGCTCCCGTTGCCGTTCCCGTTGCCATTTCCATACAGCTGCCCGGGCCGGCCCGCGCGGGCTCAGCCCCGGCCCCGGCACGCCGGCCTCCGTGACTCGCGGCACTTTATCTCCAAAGCAAACAAACTCGCAGTTAATTCATTCTCTCCGGCGCTAATCCAGCCTTGTTTCCATGGTCCCTCCTCCCAGGCAAAGCCCGAAGCTCCCCAGGCTCACAAAATGGGAGCCGAACGGGAGGCTGGGCTCCGCCAGCCGGAGCTCGCAGCGGCGCGGGGAGAGCGCTGTGCTGAGAGGAGCGGCCAGCACGGACACGGCACTCGGAACCGCGGCCTCCTCCGCACAATGCCAGCCCAACACAGCTCTGGCACTCGCCGCCATCGCAAAAACTTACCCCCCTCAGTAACCCCGGGCTGAGCAAAACGGGAGCACTGATACAAGACTCTACATTGTTGTWATTTACCACGTGAACTGTATTTTTATGCATCTCAAGAAAGACTTGTCCATAGGACAATCGGCAGCCCCACTGACACTTCCAAGTTAAAAAAAAAAATCTAACCAGAGTGCAGAACATATTTCGGTTGATTTACGTGGTCACATTTGGGATCTGAAACCAGAAAACCAGTTATGTATGATGGCACACAACTGCATGTAGGAGAACCGAGAGTGACATGTGGGGAAAGGACTGGAAATACGGGTCCTGCGTCTCACTTTAGTTTGATTATGAATTTTGAGCACTTAGCAATGAAAGTTTTTGAGAACTGGAAAATAAAAATACTAGTCTTGGTCCAAGCCTTTGAACATTTTAAGCCCTACTAACTGKTCAGTTTGGCTATGATGATTACACCATTTTAGCCAATGAAAAGGGCTTTGTAATCAAGATTTTAACACTTTAGACAGCTCAGAGTTGTTCAGTGGGAGCATAATCTCTGCAGGGAAATACCAAGTCTGGAAGGGTTTGAGCAAGAGCAGAGGTTGGTGTTGGCAAAGCTGCTTAACTGCCCTTTTGTGCTGCTACACTGGAGCAGGCACAGGGCACAAAGAGGGAGATCACCAATTTTCTTAGACTCCTGTTATACCTGAAGAAAACTCTCCAACTTAAGGATTGAGTTTCATCCTTAACTGAGTTTCCAGGCCTTTTATTTATTTATTTATTTTTAATCAGTTCAGGCTGTTCTTTTTCCATTGTATTACAATGACAAATAAAAAGCAGCTTGAATAAGAACAAAAAGTATTACTTCTTAACTTTTCAATAATACATGAAATAAAATACAAATCAACTTCAAAGGCCAGTTAGCAAATATTTGATGAGTTTGAGATATTAAAAATCTATTTGAATAAGTCTAATGGCTAGGCCAGCTAAAAAGAAAACAAAACCATTCAGAGCAATCAGGAAATGAAGTCAACTAGAGTTGTAAAATAAATTTGGCTCAAAAATTAAGCAAATGTTAAAATAAAACCATGCCTGGTTACACTAATTACATAAAAAGGAGTTAAATTACTCATTTCCTAGCTCCTTCTGCCAAGATCATCATCTTCAAGGGAAATTAAATTTTTTTTTTCTATTTTTTTTTTAAAGAGCAAAAATGTTTTGTGTAAAGATCCCACCCTCCTTCAACAAGGAAGTTTCATTTAGTGCTGAATTCCAACGAACATTTCTTGACCCTATGTCAAACAAAACATCAAAAATATGTAATCACCCTTATCAATGTTGACATTTCTCACTATATTAGGCCAATACTTATTATTTTCTTAAAATTTACTGGATGCCATCTCAAATAAAGCAGTATTTAAATCCTGAACGAAGGCTGGATCTTAAAGTTCAGGTCGTGTGTCAAATTCTCTGCTCTCCTACTTACTACTTAGAAAGAACACCAACCTAATAGTAAATAATAGTTTGAAATTAATTTGTTATTGATGAAGAATTACCCCTTATACTTGTAGGGCATTACTGCACTGCAGTCATCATTAATAAACCACTCAGTCTGCACGACAGCCAGATGTGCCAACCTCTGCTCTGTACATATTTCAGGACTCCATCCTCAGTCACACTGAGTTCCTGCAATTGCAAATGATGTCAAAGGGCACTCTTTGGGGACTGGGCAAGGCCACAACAGGATGTCTTCTGTTGGAGCCAATTATTCTGATGTAACAAAATTAGAGGTTAATCCAAGGAATTCTTTAGCTGACTCACTTTGCAAGCCAAAACTGATCTGCAAGCTTGTTTCACCCAGTGAGGATGAAATGTACAGTCAATTATATTTTTTTAGTTCTCCTAATCTAAGTTTATTTCTAAATGACAAAGAGCATCTGTGAGTCAAATAATCAGATGATAGATCAGGTCTGTATTACATTTAAGTTACACAACTACTTTAAACTAAAGAAGATCAAGGGACTTTTGTCAATTTTGGAGAGTCATTTTCCACTGTCCCTCATTTTGATAAAAACTGAGTTGATAAAATATTTAATACAGCTTATTTAAAAGAGAAACCGAGATTTTTATGTTCATTTTGGCACTAGCTGTATTTATTTGACTRTGGCTTAGCAGTCTCAGAAGGTTCCTCAAGTTAGAGAACAAATTTGTCAATGCAGTTTCAGTGAGTCATGTAATGCCCCATCAAGACCAGGGGAAAAAAGTTTTCTTTTGTACGACTAAATTTCAGTCTAYCCCAGAACACGGTAGAATTTTAACAACAGTCTTTAAATATTAAATCTCAGTCGGTACTACGAAAAAATTCAAAAGTACTTATGCATCACTTCTTTCATTGCTAAAAGTGACTTGTACAGAAAGCTAAAGTTGGATGTACATTTGGAAAGTATCCCCTCCCCAAAGCCCCCAAACACACGCAGCTTATAGAAAGCAACCAGTTCTTTTTGATGTTTACTGCAGTGGTCCTGAAATTAATATAAATGGATGTGTGATGTGCAAATGGGAGAGCCTGGAACTAATTCTGTTTTATAGAATACAAACCCTTCAGCAATTGGGGTACCTAATTATTTTGATGATAGGTGAAATTTTGCCTTGATCACACAGTATCCAGCTGTGAATCTGTTTTATAACAGAAAATTTCACAGCATGTAACTGGTCTTTAAAATTACGCTGTAAACATGCAAACACATGGCACCACTAAAACAAGCATGTTTTTAAAGGCTCGTTTTCCTTTAAGCATTTTTGAGAAGGGAGGAATGAAAAGGAAGAAAAAGGGAAGTGAGCAATGCTACAAATAGATTCGTTTACTGTGTAATGCTTTTAGCATATTTCTGATCTATAAAAAGCTCGACTACATTTTTTCAGAGTGGTTCACATTTTTAAAGAAACTAAAAGACATGGATCTAATTATTTCACCCTTCTTGGGGATTAATCTGAAAGTTGTTTCCTTTTCATTGTTACTTACACTACAGCTGTGCTCAAAACTCCTTTTCGTTTAGAAAAAAAAGTTTAAATTTTGAGCCTGCGCACACTATGGTTCCACATTCCAACAGCTTCCTCCCAGTCCTCTGCCAGCATCTGCTATTGAAGACTAGTTCCAATTTACAATAAACAGCTTTTCCAGACCAGAACACTTGAAATTCAGTCCTTTCTGACTGCTTTTCCCATTCAATCTCCCTATTCACCATTTCAAGGAGAAAACGGTTCTGCCAATTATTACACATCTGGAAAAAATGCATGTATAAGCTGAAACGCTCTGAGCAGAAAGTTTCAGCTTTCTGCATATGGTCACAGCAGGATTTTATGGGCCACTGACCAGGCCAAAGTCTAAGTTTTCCCATCTTTTTTCTCTCCCTCATTTCTGCCCACCCCCACCCCAACATTCTAATTGGAAACCCMTAGCAGGTGCAAGCTGTCTGCCATCTTTTCCTCCACAAGAATCTCAAGTGGTTTCTTCCTGATAAATATTACTCTTACAGCCCAATTCTACCTCAGAAGGCTCTATGATCATTTCAGTGCATCAGCTCTAACTGTTCYGCATAAACACCCTCGTGTTTTATAACATCATTACCATGGATGCCTGTCTGCTGGCTGTTACAAGGCTGGATGCTCCATAGTTTGAGTTCAGGCTTCCAATTGGCCCATTGTGGGATGGTCCCAATAAACTGTGAATGTCTCCATGGCCAGCTGACAGGCTTGTTGAAGGCCCCACAGCGTGGTTCCGCAGAACATGGATGGCATCATCCAGTCTGTCCAGGCGATCCTCCATCCGGGACTGCTGTTGGGATGCAAGAGRGACAGGAACAGCCATCACTGAATAAATCCCCAGGCTCCTCACACCCTACAGAGTCTATCTCCAGGTATTAAAGACAGAAGATGAAATGCAGTGTCAAAATAGTATCAAAAGACTTTGAGAGCACCTACCAGCACTACAAACAGGAAAAAGAAAATATTATCTGGAGATTTTGTTCAAGATAGCATTCATTCCACAAATAGTTGGCAGTTTTGAAAGTGAAGCTTATTRTAGGGTTAATGTTACTCAGCTGCTATTACATGGCATGAACAAGAAAAAAGGAACTGCTACAAAATAAGCTAATGCAGGACAAGAAAGAATGATCATAAAATCAGCCTCACCATGCTGGAAACAATTAAGAGAGGCAGTGGTTTTTTGAGAATCTGTATTATAAAAAAAACTGGACAAAAACTTTTAGTTATCATTTTTAAAAATAGACCTTCAAACAGATTAGATGTTTCAGAAATAAAAGCAAGTTATTTGTGTTACTGTAGAAGTCTGTCTTAAGATTACATTCTTTTAATTACTTTCTTTTATTAAAGGAAATACCAAAAAAACCCAAAGCAAAACCAATTCCGACATTGCAGCTGTCTAGAAACTGAAATAGCAGGATGTTGGAGTCAAAAGATGGGTCACACACTACACTAATTGAAGTTTTTAATGGGGAATCTGAAGGAAGCGTTAATTGAAACACAAAAAGGCACCATCTAAAGTGAAATAGTACCTCACAGACATCCTTTAAGAAGGACATTGCATCTTGCAAATGCTCGTGAAGTTGCTGTTCAACTCGATTTTTCTGGCAAAGTCAAGACAGAACAGGAAGCAAAGCACAGGTTAAGATTAATTCAAAAAAAGAGGTGAGGAAACAGCTGATGTGCATGTCAGCAATAAATTGTTAGTCAAGTTAATGCAACAGAGATCTGATTATATTAAGATAAGAAAAGGCTAATATTTAACACTGCAGTTATGTTAGGATTCTAAGGTGTACATAACAATTACATTTAATTGCAAAAATACTGAAGAAAAGAAATCTGATTTAACTTATAATTTATTCTTGTTAGACAGGAAAAAAAAAGAAATTACATCTGTGGAAACTAGAAATATGAAGCAAATAATCAAAACCTTCCCTCAAATTTTCYCTCTTTCCTTCCCGATATTGTATCGGAAATGTAAGAAGGAAGGAAGTAACTTAAATCCTCTGCTGAATGCTCAAAAGAAGAAAATTTACAATGCTGTAGATTACTGCCTGTGTGTTTTTCTGTAAAAGGATTAATTAATAAATGAACATTCCYCACAACAAATAATAATTACAAATAAACTGTATTAATACTTTAATAACAGTGTAATGCAAACAAGCCTAGAGACTGCCATTTGAGGGAGAGATAGGGAAGGACAAGTAAATGCGGAGGCATGAAGTCTTTATCTTTCTCCAGACTGAACTTTAGATAAGAATTAGCTATGGATTTGTGAAAAGGTACCAGAATCTCATAACAGCGCTTTAGCACCAGCTGTCCTCAGCACAGAAGCCTGATGCCCAAGGAACAGATGGTGAAAGACACACCCTGCACGTCTTACATTGTTCAACTGAACAGGCCATTTGTTAGCAAAGAATTCATTTGTAATGCTATCCTACTGTTTCTTTTAATGATATGCAGGATTTATACAAAACCAAGCCTTCAACTCCTAAGTAAAAAGTACCATGTTGCTTTCAACAATTCTTACCAAGGAGTGTAGAGAGTTTTCATAGTTGGGAGATGAGGGGGCTTGTCCTCCACTCCTCGACCACTGACTGGCACCTGTCAAAATTGTCTAGGTTAGCGCACAGATTTACACAGCAGAAGTGGGAAGCAGAGACAGTATTTCTCAACATAATTAAAACCAACATATTCTGCATAAAGGTAAGCTAACATATGGGTATACAAAGGAGGACAAATTCCTTCATTATGCCTTACTGAGGGATAATTTTGATATCCTGGCATCTGTAGAGTTAGATCATTGTCAGTGACAAAAGAGGTGACATCTTCAAAGTACTTCAATGTCAAAAAACTGGACTAAGTACACACACACYGTGTTTGAAATACCTGCTTCTAACACCTGCTTCTGCCTGCATCACCACAAAAGACCTGCTGAATTCTTCTTCAGATTCTGTTCAGTGTAWGTATTTGTAATAGTGTTAAATGCACAACAAAAATATTTAAAGAAATCAAACAGATACAAAGTTAAGCATTTCTGGAGAACCATTTTTATGACACCTCTCTACTAAATTAGAAAACCTAAAAGTGGATCTAAAAGCTTTATCYTGTCTAGTTGTACACAATACCATTTTAGATTACAATGCATTTCAAATTTAGAAGAATAAAAATACACCTAAGTCATACCCMTTTGTTATTTCAGATATACTTAAGGTAAATCAGAAGCTAAAGAACCATTGACTGTGCAACAAATTAACAATTAAATCCATATTACCTATACACTGCAAATTCAAATACATATTCATTCTAATCTGACATAAATATACCTAATTATCATGTAAATTTTAATAATAATTAGATGTGAAATGCAATAGCTAATAAAGCAGTACTTTTAACACAAAGCCTGAAGTAGTACAACATGCATTTTTCTCACCAACTAATAATGCATCTTTTATAAAGATACTACACAAAATTCTATGGCCATTAGAGACAGCTTCCTTTCAGCCATATAAATGTAATAATAAAGCAATTACATTAATAAATTATGGACATACAATCCAAAGCAGCTCATTAAAGGAAGAGCCTGTGGGCTTGTTCTTTCAATAACAGCCAGAGCTGTATGTCTGGAAAACTGGGAAAAGGTTTAATAACATTACAGTTCCTTTGTTCAGAGAGCTGCAAGTAGTTACCTTTTAAAGACAAGGTTTTATTTAACAAAAAGAGTACAGCTTGCATAGCTATTAAAATACCTACATATTTCCTTTCTAATTAAAAAATAATAAGAAAAATCTCCTATTTCATAAAAGTCCAGAGCTGCCRTAATTGTGCTGGAATTCTCTTTTAAAATACAAAGAATTCAGTGAGCAAGTTTATAATTTCCAATTTTCACTTCACACAGCTCCTCTGGGTCTGGACCTGTAGTCTCCGTCTGCGTTACTGCCATTCCTCAACTTGGGAATAATGCTTGGAGTGCCACTTATTTTTGCACAGCCATTAATGAAACAACTATAGAGTATTTTGGTTCAGCATCATGTTCAAATTTGAATCCGGTCAGAGCTCCATTTGTAGAGACAGAATGGTGGTCGGGAGCACTCCCTGCTCTCAGAACTCAGAGCAGCACTCCCTCCAGCAAAGCAGGAGCTCAGTAGCAGGCAGAAGGGTGGCCAGGTAAGCAAGTGAACAGACTGCGAGGCTGCGCACTTCTCCTGACACCCTGTCTGGGGGGTTTGACAGAAGGTGCTATTTCTGTAATGTGAGCCCAGAACAAAACTCGAGTGGGACATCTCACAAAGGAGACAAATAGAGAAGAGGGGAGGAATTAACCAACTCCTCCTGTCAAACGCCCATCCCAACTGCAACCTGCAGCTTTCAGTCACACCTCGGCACCACCGGGGCTCTTCCCGAGCGGTGGCACTCTGCCTCCACGGCTGCAGGTTGCCAGATGGCACTGATTTCCTGCTTGCCTCATTCCACTCCCCCTCCTAGAAGTTTGTGCATGAAATCCACCAATTATGTTAAAAAGCATCCTGGCACCACAAGCCCTGCAATTAACAACTGCAGCTTTTAGTGCAGCACCAACACAGCAGCATTAAAAAACAAATAAGCCAGGCAAGCATTAGGATTTACAGGGGTCACCGACAGCAATCACTGCAGTATTGTTCTTACCCCGAGTCTCCCCAACACTAATCCTCTGGCTCCCCTTTCAAACACACACTTGGAGCTGCACAGGGCTGGCTTTGCATCCTCAGAACCCACAGAACCTCCTGAATACCTCTGATCCCAGCAGAAGGATTCTTAAAATACCAAGGCTCCCACCATTCACATCCCTATATAAACTTCCYATGCCTGTACACAATCATTAAAACTATGCAAGACGCTCAGCTCTGGGCATGTTTATGTAAAATTAGAAATTAAATGAGGGCAGGGAAGGYGAGATGCACACTACTGTCTCATAATACTTGGGGGTTTTCATGAAGCTGTTCTCCAAGCTTTTACTTAACTGAATTAAAAAACATCATTAATCCTCATTCAGCAATGTAAGAGCCAAAGAGTCAGTCAYGAGCTTATGAACCCCAAGGTCTCATGACGTTGGTATCTCTCAGTGYTTTCCCTGGTAAACAGAGTACTCCTACCATAATTTACAATTAAAGGATAGGCAAATTATGACTTAAGCAATCTGCAATACTACAAATGCTAACTAAACAAATATCTAACTGCAAAAGGGGAAAATGAMAATGATGGCTAAAATGCTCCAAAATATATTATTTTAGTACACATAAAACATTTGTTTTATCTGTAATAACTTTTTGGGTCAAGATGGAAAATGGCTACCAGGAGTATAAATAGCAATAAATGCAGCAGTAATTACTTCACATTGTGCTTCACCGTGTTCTTAGTGACTCATCTGGGAATAAAGATAAAAGTCCAGATTCATAAATGAAGGTAATTAACTACTGGAGCAATTTACCAAAGGCTTGATAAATTCTGTATCACTGAAATTAAAGGGGGTGGGATGGTACAAATGTGAAGCAGATGCTAAGTTTGAGCCTGAAAAGGATYTCAGTATTATTTACTTATATCTACTACTGTCTTAACCACCAGAATCCAGAATAAGCAACACAAATTAAAAGTGCAAATTTTGGAGAGTTWTACATTTCATACAGGTTGCCACAGGCAAAGGCAACAACAGCAAAACGAAAACACAAAATTTTGTGACCTCAAATTTGTATTCACAACCAGAAATTAGGTAGCGCTTTCATGCTTACAAAATGAGTGTAGTATCTAATTAGGCAAATCCTGAAAAAAACCTCTTTGGCATCTTCAAAATTTTAAATACTTTTAAATGTCAGAACTTCCTTCTTCCAGCCACAAAATGTTTTCAATACTTGTTTTTGATGTTAAAAAGAAAATAATAATATTTTTCTGGTCTGATCTTCCTTTTCAGTACAACAGAATACACAAAACATTTTTTGTCAACTGTAATCACTAAATCAAAAATCCCATTAATCCCATCATTACTCAATTCAACATGGATTATTCAGTAATAGAAAAGAAATGCCCAAAGCAGCTGCTCAGGTAAGCCATGTCAGATACTCATTAATCCATTACATCCACWGAAAACCAGAGCAGTGTCCATTAAACAGAAGTGAAGCATAAATGATSGAGGCTTTGAGTGACATTGCATATAGAGATATGCATATTCACATACATACAATTATGAGTGCATTTTGCACGCAGTACATTTAATAATTTATTCATCTAGATCACGAAAGGGTTCAGCTAAGCTCATTCTATACCCTTTTCACCTTAAGGTAATTCTGTTGTTTTATAAAAAGCAAAACACTCTTGGAAAAAAGTGACCAATGGTCAGGAGCCTGCGGGATATATTAAACAACAGAAAATGGAGAAACAGACTGTTGTATAAATGTTAAATAATTTAACAAATTGCACTATCGGAAAGAACAGGGTTAAAGTTACATCATCTTACTTGTAATTCTAGTTCTTTGTTAAACAACAAATTTAAGTCAATGGAGCTTTCACAGTCCTCTCTATGTGGAGAACAGCTGTTCAACTTTTACTAGACAGCTGAGGCCACAGTGTCTGTGAAAGCTGCACTACCGCTAATAGCTGTAGGCAGCTGCCCACAGTTCATCTCCACACTGGAATGCTCCTTCCCACATTCACGCTACAAACACACAAAGCACAGGTGACAGAGGTGGCAGCAATACAGATTTTGAAAAATGCCAGAAATTCTTCTCCCATAGAATGAAAACATTCATGAAAGATATGAATGAAAAGCTATCTTGTGTAAAAATTGGATAGTCTCATAGCCTACTATATTTTCATTAGAGGGAACACACATCTGCTGTGTTTGTCACTGAAAGCTGCCGCAGAGCTTTAATATATAGCTTTAAAAAAAAAAAAAGGTAATCAAATCAAATCACTCTTCTTTCTCTCAAACACTGCAAATCTGCCCTAGTACTATATGGTCAGTCAATGCTTTCAAACATTATTTTAATTAGCTAATTTTCAAAGGCAGTTGCCAGGACTCGAATGTCCCCAACAAAATATCACAGAATCAGGATTTATAAATCTTTGTTTTGTACAATGGAAAACCAACCAAAATTCACACGCAAGACAGTTAATGCTGATTTCACTGTGTTTCCAAACAGGGTGTTTTCAAAACAACAAACATGTTATTGACAAACGGCCAGTCTGCACCTGTAAGAGGCGATGGTGATCCAACCGGTGTTGATGGATTTGACGGAAAACTACTGCTGGTATGATCAGGAGAATAAATCTGGTAACAGACAAAGAGATTATACATCAATATATGTTAYAATACACAGGGAAAAAAACTATTAGTATTCTTTTTCATGTTTTAATTATCACTCTTGATTCTGGATTGATGAAAAACGCAATTTGATCCTTCAATCACAGRTCTGCTTTATTACACTCAAGGCTCTAAAAATGTCCAAAGAACTTTCATTTTCAAGCAGCTGTCCAAATAAGCACAGCCTGTATTTCATAGTGGCACAAGTATAACTGACCTTCCTTCTCATTTAACAGCAGCAGAAATTACAGCCTTTCTGTCACTGCAGGGGAATGATACACGTAAGAGTTCACAGTACACAGCTAATTATATCAAACAAAACTTCAGGAAAATGCCAATGAATAATGACTTTGCAAACTTTAGAGAGCGATTTTAGCAGTCAACACATGTTATCTTCTAAAATTTAATTCTTCACAAAATACCAAGAAAGCATTCTGGCTTGCTTAYTATTGGTACCTACCAAACAAAAAACACCTGAGATTTTGTTCCTCTTGCAATGTATTGCAGCACATAATATACTTCTCTCTTATTTCAGTATCAATTGGCCTCCTGAGATACTAAACTTCAACTTACAACAATTATTTCCTTGAGATTAATGAAATTAAAAACTATTGGTTAAAATAGAAGACATAATGCTTAAAGCTTTAATTAAAAATTAAAATCTCAAGGCACTGGGAAAATCCATTTTATACAGGGAATTGAATAGATTTAGAGGCTGACTATGGACTTCAGAACATATTTTTATAGGTCATTGGTTCAAACCTGTTTTACTTGAGCAGAGACGGGGATTTGTTAGTCATCAGATGGCAGTTAAAAAAATCTTCACTGGCAGTGTGGTTGATGTCTCTTCACACAGACAATATGACATTACAGCATTTCGCTGACAATAACTTTATTAAGTTCCATATTGTATTTTTTGAACYGACAAAAGCAGGACCTGACAGACCACATGCTCCTTCCTGGTCTATCATACTTTTCCATTAGAAAAAAGACCATCAATTCCCTAATGGAAATGCTTCCTTCTTTTCATACATGCTAGAAAGAAAATATATTTAGAACAAACTACCTCATACTACCGGAGGAAATTCATGCATTGTTCATCAGCATAAAAATAAATGTTGGGTGCCAGTATAAGAACTGCAGAGAGTTCCAGACAAATAAGACACAGAAAATTAAAATAAAGTGAAAGACCACAAAGTTTTCTTTGAGATTGCTTGTTTYCCACAGGTCTACCTGCCAATTTTATTTTGCTGTATTTTATAACAGGGAAAACCTGCAGTATAGCAAAGCCACAATTAAAACACGAGGTCAGAATTCATTCTGCATGCAGTCCCTGACCGCTGCGCTGTTAAATGACCAATGATGAACAACCCTGACACCTTCTGCCAGGCTTAAATGGTAACATGACTAATTTTACTGCAACAAATGAGACTCCTCCTCCTATCAGTCATGGTCCATTCCAATCAGTGGGGTGCCAATATGCCAGGATCTAATGAAAAGGCTCTTAGACAAAAGCTGCACAATTGAGAGCCTGCAGAGCCAAACCTCGGAGCTGTTAGTCCAATTTTTTAAACACTACAGTGTACATTTCAGTTAGGCTTTGTTATGTTAATGTTATTGAGTCTAAAGCAACAAAGAAACTTAATTCATGAATTACTTTTAGAAGTCAACTTCCCTACATTTTCTTTTCTTTTGTGCAGGGACCAGTGGCTATTTAACTACCGAGACGGTACAAAGGCCTTTACCCTAGTGCTGAGGTAGGAATCAAAACATAAGTTATCACAAAGAGGTCTGATATAATCAACAAAGTTAAACAGTCCTCCTGTTTGATCTCCTCTAAATTAAAGACCAAGTGTTTTGATTTGGCATTAGGCAATGAAATAAACCAGATGTTTCTCCTGCCATATAACCCTCCATGGGCACAATCTTAAAGGGTTATTGTTTGGCAAATGTTCAGGGAAACACATTAGAAATGGCACGAATACCCAGATTTTCTTTTCTTTCTATCTATACTAGTTCATTATCCAAACTAATGCATAATCCACAGGGCTTTGGGAACTTTGTGTAAATACTTTCATGTACAATTCTCTTTCTTGCCTACCCTGAGATTAAGACCACAATTATCCAGGCTTAAACCTAAAATAAAAGAACCTTTGCAAATGTATTATCTGGCCTTACATGTTTAATCACATACTATTCTGTATGGTCTTTAATACCTAAACTGAAGAACAAATGTCGTATCCTCTGATGTTTCGCACATGAAAGGCCTATTGTGAGATGTACATCAACAGAATTTTAGAACTAGAAATTCTTCTCAACAGTTGCAGTAGCAGCATTTAAAATCCAAACCGAAAGGAATAAAGTGTCATCTTTGGGGGGGGGGGGGGGGGGGGGGAAGGCAAGACAATTGCAGTATTTAAATAAAACTTTGCTCAAACAGAAAAATACTCTTGATTTACTAGCTGTCAAATTTCATGTGTGTCAGCTTCACCTGCAGGAGAGCCCACCTCCCTGCTGGCCCAGCCGAGAGCAYGCTGAACGAGCGCGAGGAGTGTGCTGGGTGCGCGGGGTGCGGGGGAAGCAGATGGATGAGGCGAGGGATTTGAAGTGTGCAGACTATGGCATGCACTGATAGAGCAGATGGAATGCATCACCATCAGCTATGACAGAAATGATTTATGGAATGACCTGGCTGCTCCTGCCAAGCAACAACACGGGATGACAGAAACAAGTTTCTATGACAACCAGAGCCCACCCACCAGTTAGATTAAACATTTCTGCCCTGACTTCCACTCGCAATATATTTAGTTTTTCCTCAAAACATCAGCCTGGCTTTCTCAGCTAGTGACTTGGACAAAAATACCTGAAAGGATGAGAAAATCATTTAGGAAAGGAGAGAGTGGAAAATGTCACGAAGTCCCACAGGTCTAACTGGCCAGCGTCTCAGACTTAACAACGAAATTTTGTTCTGGTTGCAGAACAGCAGACACCCAAATACATCTGCAGAGCAATGAACAGCCTGGAGTATGTGAGCATTSCTATTTCTAGGAGGCAAAATGATCCTTGTTCTTTTCTGACAGGTCTCAAACCGACCAAAAGAGAGCGTTAACTGCCCTCTGGACTCCCGAATTGTTATCTACTTGCTGAATCCCTGAAAGCAACAGGGACATTTTTCTCCTCAAAGCCAGCAGGTCAGAGTTCTCTTCCCCAATATGGACATTACAGACATTATCAGATCTGGTAATCTTTTAACCTTTAACCCTCTGAAGGATGCATGGGTAACAGGATCTGCATGAATATGCACATTTGCATTCACTGGTATGAGGTGAATGATGCAGAACCCAACATGGGGACAGTCATTTAGGGCTGCAGAGTTTGCTCCATACAGGAAATACAAAGTGCTTCCCCAGCCACCATTCCCAACTCTGAAATTTCTGCTGCAGTGCATCAATTACTCTTTTATAAAAAGTACATCTGATTGTACCAATGACAAAGTAATTGCTGTATGCACACACATGGAAAAAGGGCTTATAGGAGATTGAAAATACTTGCCATGTTTTACATTATTCCAACAGGAGTTAAGACTTGAAATTTATGCATATACAACATTCTGAAGGCTGTTCCATAAATTATCAGGCCACTGAGAAAACATTTCAAACCTGGAGGCAAGATCTGCACTAAGACTAATGTTAAAAATACTTGACTTTACCTAAAACACTACAGAAAAAAAAAATCAAAGCTTTAACTTTTTATGAGTRTTTTTTACTTTGCCTAACTAGCTTTTAAAACTCTATCTGCTTTAAATATTTTGATCACCTGAAGAAAAAGAAGTCAGAATGAGYCTTCTCCAAATAAAAGCATTTTTCTCTTGCATTTAAAGACATTTTTCTAGTATATGAAATTGCTTCATAGTACATTGTTTTAACTCCATATGTGAAAATTTCTGATTTGATATTACAAAATGAATGACACATGGATAAGGGATCAAAATATGTGTTTCAGATCTGCATATTCTAACTGCTACTTACAGATGCCAATGCCTTTCCAAGTGCATCACCTGTCTGTGAGCTTCCAGCACCATTTCCTCTGTTTCCTGTAATGTGGAAAGTAAACCCAACACTTATTTTTAAAGCTAAAATTTTATTCACTTTTATTATTTTACTCATCACATAAAGTTAAGCACCACTTTTTAAATGGATTTTCTGAGGAAGTCAGTGTCAATAGAATCAGTTCTCATTAGACTTAAAAATTTAATTAAAACAATTAGATTTASGTTTAGATGCTCTCCTCTTAAAAGTCAAACACAGTATCACCGTGATAACTTAAGGACCAACAAGTACAGCAAGCAGCTAGAAAATGACAACTTATTTTCTGTGATCATAGTCTAATTTTAATAAAATGTGGAAAGAAAACTCTAAATCTGAAAATTATATTATTGCAGCTCATATCACTAAAGTGCCACACATTTAATTAATTCTTAAAGCCAAATTCACAGAATATTTCCTCGTGTGTCTCCTTGCTACTCCATTCAAATTCCCTGTGTTGYACTCTCATCTTCAGTTTAAAAAGTCCCTGAAAAGCTCTGATGCACCGAGCTTTCTGTCACCCCTGCTCTTAGTTGCATGTCAGAAGCTTCGCATGCCCTTTTGCTCCACACACCATTAAGCCAAGAGGAAGTCTGAAGCCCTGCCAATTGGAAACAGAGAGGAACTGAATCCTCTGAAATGTCTGCTTTGCTGTAGAAGACAGACCCTCTAAAAGMAAATTTTCTTTCTCCAATTATCTCCTTCTAAGGCCAAAAAATGTATTGAGTGTGAATGTAAGCCATTCACCATCAGAAATCCAAATAATGCAACACTCACAGTTTCRAGTTTGTGACAAACTCGAAATTCCAGCCTGAATTTCCCATACAGATTCATTAACTGGATTCTGTTTAAAGTTCTTAGTATAAAACATGCTCCCAAATCAAAACTAACGTAGTCACCCTCACTAAATTCCACTTCCTTAAAATGAAGTTACGTGCAAATCCTATGGAAGTGACAAGCATTTAATTTCTAGAACTGAATCTTAAGATGTGCAAATATGTGCAAGGAACAGATGATCAGCCTGTATTTCACGCTTCCTAGATGAGCACGGAGGAGACTAAACCAGCCACAGTACTGGCTACTCTGTAATCTTTAAAACAGTTAMGAGAGGAATTTACGATGTACTTTATCAACCTCCCCATAGAAATAGCCTTCTTGCCTCTCTCCAGAGCAGTGCTTTGGTGACACAGTAGCCCTGAAAACTTCAGCATAAGAACCACCTATATGGACAAGTGCATATAGTGAAAAACAGAAGGACAGCTGCCATTTAACCAGACACATCCATTCAAGCATAGGCTTGACTGTGAAAGCAAATAAACCAGTAAGTCTCAAGTTGACTGAAAAACAGTTTGCCTCATCTCAGCCATACTGAGGACAGAAATATCACAGTGATGAATATTTCCCAATCTACAAGCATGGCATAAATTAAATCTTACTAATTTTGTGCATCATGCAGCTCTAAATTTCATTTTCTTGTAAAATGAAAAAAAAAAAAAAAAAAACAAGGCAGGAAGAACATTTTACCCAGAATATTATCTGATCCATTGACAGGTGGAGTGTGTGAGGCAGCTACATAAGGTGAGCTGCTGGTACTGCCACGATGGAAGCTGGACATTGGAGGAAGACTGGCATTTATATCTGTAGGTGAGACTGAATGCGGGGGATAGCTCTGGAGAGGAGAAGCAGACATAAGACATTAAGTAATCCTTAAATAAATGTTGATATTTTAAGATACCAAATATATAACACCCAGCTCTTTATTACAGAAGGGACTCATCCATCCTCTGAACAGATTCATCCATCCTCTATACAGCCCCAGATTTTTATTTATACAACAGACATAACTAAAAGGACATAAATTCAATACAGGAGGTTTGTGATTTCTAACAATCGGGTTTTTAACTGACATACATGAGCAGCAAAGGAGAAATTAATACTCCTAAGTTAGATCTCCATACACAACTATAAACAGATTAATGTGTGTCAATCTTACCAAACGGTCATGTGTGTGCAGGCTGCCGTAACTGCCGGACTGGGACATGTGGGAAGAGGAGCCTCCAAGCATCCCACCATAGCCAGGCTGGCTCATGCCATTGGATGAACTCCAGAGGTCAGAAGAATTGTGGGTCCCATCTTTTTTTTGTATTTTTTCAACAGAAAAGAAAACAAGAAAAATACATTTAATGAAGAATACTGATTTCTCTGTTCTTTTCAAGGATTATTTTAAACAAATACAGAATTCAGCTTCTGAGATGAAGATCAGTGGGGAAATGGTAACCAGTTTATACTGCATTTTCTATTTTCATGCCACCACGCTGTTGCTATATTTATTAAAAAAAMCCCRAAGAAACAACAGAGGCTTTATAGCTGAAATATAATCCAACCACAGCTGAGAAAATACCAAGCACTTCTGCTAATTACACAGACCTTCAGTAAGGCCAGATTTAAATCAAGAGCATTGATAAAAACTCCAGACTGTAAGAAATAATAAAAAAGGAGGTGGAGGGGTAAGAAGTTTGGCCAAACAGAACCCACCATAAACATACACTGCCTAAAACAAACAATTTATAGTCTAAGATACCCTAGCACCACAAAAATATAAAAACATTTCAAAATAGCAGATTTAAGTAGTTGAAATGAGTACATTACATTAGCCTTAGCCTGTGTATCAGTGCAGTTTCCTTTCTGTAGCACAGACTGAAGCGCTCTGTGAATTCCCGTACTGAGACACTGAGCTCTCCATGTGCTCCAAACCCTCAMCAGACTGCAGCACGAGCTAATTGTGTGACGTGAGGCTGAGGAAATGGATTCTGCTCTTGTTTCATTCAGAGCAAACTCCCTTTTTTCTGGCACGCTAGATATACAAGCATTTGAGAACTTAAGACTGTKAACTGATATTGTACAGTTGAATTCCAGAAAAGTCAATAAGACCCCACCTCATTTTTCTCTATCACTCCAGTGTGCTGCTCTGAAGCCCCTACAAATCAAAGGATGGGAATTCTGTCCATCTGGCCTGGTGTGTAATCCCTTTAAATTTCAGTCAGCAATTAATGTCATGAGAAAAACTTTACATCAACAGACAGTTCCCTTCATCTAACTGTTTTAGAAGTATATAAAACTTAACCATAGGTTCTAGCACARTATGTTCCCTTTACACTTCTTCATTCACCCAGTAAAACAGTGTCTGACTGCAGATTTCTGCCCAAAGGACAAGTGACATTTTACCTACCTTGCATAAAGAAAGTGCTAGCAAACATACTGCTTGGTGGCTTAGGAGATGGGTAACTTGGAGATTCTCTGTTGAAATCATCAGAACTTGGGGATGGTGCATACACCTACACATTGGAGAGCAATAAAAGCAGGTTAGCAATAATTGGGGGCCGTGCGTTAAAAAACCAGCAACAGCATACAGATACAGAGAGAAAGCACAAATAAAAAAAGAACAGTGTAGCAAGCCGCAGCATTTGTTGCCCTTGTTTTATTTGCTTTTTAGCAAGTTGCCACAGTACAGAGGAACTACAGTAAAATGATCCTAACAACACACTTTCTGGTGTGCCAACTCAGCCAGGTGGCCTGATAAAAGCCTGAATGCTGATTTTGCTTTCTAAGTGCACGACTCGCATAGACTTGTTGCTCAAGATAAAAAAGCAAGATAAAACAACTGGGCCCCAAACAAATTTTATTTTAAAACAACTGTATGTCTGTTTGAATATTTAATTAGCTGGCATCCCAACAATCGGAAAGGAAAAGAACATCCAGTGACAAATGGAAAGACTTTAATGCAACCATTGTATCATCCATTCAGAAACTCGCATGCCTTTGGAGAGTCATCAGAAATACATGCATGCAAGTCCTCAGGAATAATCCTAAAACTGCAACAGCGACCAYGGAATTTTCACACTGGCCTAGCATTAAAGAAAAGCAGTATTATTGTTTTTTCAGTGTGAGCACGCCAGCGGAATGCCCATTCTCAACTTGCAAGCAACAAATTTTCTTTTCAAGTTAAAAATGTAAGATGTCAAATAAACATAATGACTCAAAGTCTTTCACTGCAGAACTATAAAAAGAAATATAAAGTGTATTCAGGAGTAAGTTAAGTCAAATAAACAAGRCCCAGTATTCACAGAGTCGAGGACTCTGCCCATAGTCAGCTGTTCTGTACTGAATATTGCAATGACTAGTGCGTGTTGAAAGATAAATTTAATAAAAAGCAAATCAACATATACGGCAGCAAAAATATAAAAATGTGGCATTGAAACTGAAGCCTATTTTTGCTATGAAATAAAAAATTTYGTATTTGTAACTGTTTATCTTGTTAAATTACAGATGACTTAATAAATGCATATAGGAAGAATAGTTTCAAAACCCTAAAGCTTATATTATGMAACTTAATAAGTGCCCTAAAATTCAAAAGTGATTATTTTGATCCACTCCTATGCACAGACAGGCACACGCATGTTTCTATGGCATCCACATCTCTCCCTGGCCTTTCTGAAACGTTGTTTACCAAGCACGAGAAGGGCCAGGAAAGCCAAGCCAGCCAACAAAAAAGCCTAAATTCCCCTAAAAAAGAACCATTGTCCTCGAGGAGGGTGACTGTTCTGCTGGGGACATGGAGGATAGTGAAGTGAGCAAGTCCCGCTCCATTTGCATCCCAATACCCCTCCTCCCGCTGCCGAACGCTTTTGCAGCCCTGCTGTTGTCGGAACAAATGGCTGGGCATGTGCCTGAGCCAGCGCGCTCTTACATCACCCGCGCCCGCTCACTGCGCTCTCGGCCCCGCTCCACAGCAACACCATTTCAGCAAAATCGCTCCAATTCCGCAATGAAGGAAMCAGGACAAGGGCACAGAGCGCGAAGCCAAGGCACAGCTGTCGGGATAAGCCACACAATGAAAAAGGCAGGTTAAGAGACACCTGATTAGAAGGAGTCAAGTGGAAAACTCAAAACTTGAAGTTACGGGCTTGCTTACCGTTGGTTTTATTGAAAACAAATGAAAATTTTTAGGAAATAAAGCTTTTCGGAAAGCTTCTGCTCAATATTTTACTCGAAATTTTTCAGTTTATGGAATAAATGTAAAATAGAGATGCTTACCAGACCTGAGTGACAGAATGACAATACATTCTGAGCAATGTTCGCAGTACATATGTATTTACTCTATATGATGAATGCATGTATATTCCATGCCTGAGACATATTTTAACAGAAATGTCACTCTGTCAAATTGTAAATTCTCGCACTCATAAGACTGCAAACATATTAGGTAAAACTGGGCTTAATTTACAAGTTCTCTGTTGTGCAGAATAACACAGCATATGCTATAGCTGATGGATAATCTATCACTGTCACAGGACAGCAGTGGAAACAAAGCTTTATGACATTTAGCACTGCCATGGAGATGTACACTGATTAATGTGAAGTCACCTACAGTGACGAATTRTACTTATTTTAAACTGCAACGTTATCGATGAGGTTTGTAAATACAAGCTTCAGACTGAAATGTTAACATTTTACGTAACTGGGTGATTTTAAAAAAATCTGATTAAACACCATCCCAAAGGGGGGATTAAACTCAAAAAYTCCTCCAAATGTATAATTTACAGATACATCTGTACAAAGCATTAACATAATAAAAATGTTATGAATTATATAAAGGTAAAAGAGGCCCTTCCAAACAGCTACATGAAAGTCCTAGCACAGACACATAACTTCATATAGTTTCTGCTTGTTTTGGTATCTTAACTATAGCTTGCAAAAACATAGCTGCAATGTTATGAAGCTGCACTTGTGCCAGTCTAGATTTTTCAGATCAAAGGGTTCTTGCGGCAAAACACAACTGATGTGGTCTCAAAGACTTCATTAACTCCAGATGTGGGGAAATAGCCAGCCAATTCCACAAAAGGAGCGAGTCTCTTTTAGTTACAATCAGAACTACCCACAAATTAAAACCAGGCTTCTGATGTCATCTGATCACCTGCAGATGAGCGCCGGGTTTTTTCTGGTTAATGACCTAATCATAATTTTTATGTTGCGTTACTACAAACAAAATTTAATAGCAAAGGAGAAATCTTACTAAAATTAACCCAAAGTCTTTGAGTTGCAAAATGCAAAGGTTTTTAAGTAAGAAAGCTGACAAAAAGGATGGAATTTTATTTKTATGTCTGGAAGCAATGCATCAGGGCAACTGGTCTGTTCACTCTGAAAGGCCCACATGCACTGGGGACCCCTACCCTGCCAAAGGTACCCCCGTGGCTGCTGCCATGGCTGTGCAGCAGCTCCCYAGCAGGACTCTGTGTCCTACTTAAAGGGCTTTCTCTTCTGCAACAGCTGAGTAAGGCTGTTAAAAATATGACGTGGCTGCTCAAGACGGCCTCTTTTAGCTATTAAACTGATAACGCTGACATCCAGGAGGCATCAAACCAGTTTTTCCTGGCTGACATTCCCACTAAGACAAGGAAGCAATACTGTTAAAAGGTCAGCCTGTTTGCAGTCTCCTTGAAGAGGGCTGTCTCCAGCAGGTAGAAGTGGAGCCCATCTTTAATCCCCTCAAAAGTACTGTGCCCACAGGCACCGAACGTGTCTCCAAGCTGACAAGCAAAACACTCTCCCATTATGAATGGGAAATTTCCTTCTGATAAACGCAAGCCAAAACCAGTTTTTTTTTTTTACATGACTTATCAAGTCTTGGACTCGACTTCTTTGGAGTTGTGCTAATATATACATCAATCCAAACCCTGCGATGCTCCCGAAGGGTTGATAGCCTCCGCTGAAGCAAGTAGCACAAACGAGTTGCAGAGGACATCAAGTCAGAGACAGACATCAGTCTCTCCTGCGCCCTGAATTGGTTCATGTTTCTTCAGCAGGAAAGGCAGGATGACAACCCCTCTTTCTGAGGGGTAGAGGTGGGGGCTGACTTCAGAACAGAACTGAGGAGACATTAGTTGTACCAAATCAGGTTTAATCAAAACAAAAGCATCATCTCAGTTATGAAATCTGCCTTGGTGATTAACACAGGTAATGAACACCACTGTGAAAGCTACATGGACCTAATATATCTAAAACATTTCAAATATTAATGACTGCTGCTTCTGTTTACTAATACAAGTGCCAATAATATCAACAGTAATTTGAAGATCTGGGTTTACCAAATTTTATGCTAAGTAAAACTTCCAAGTCTCATTCTATAAATGCATTTAATAAATATAACACTTGGAGTCCTCCTGTTGGCATCCATCCTCTCAGGCAATTTTCCTGTTTCAAATTCTTAAATATTTATCAATGTTTAATATTAATGTTAAAAGCAGATTAAAAAAAATAGCAGTGAAGCAACCAAACTTCCGATGAGATCATGCTATCTCAAGACCAAGGCTCCTATCACACACACTGTTTATGAAATTATGAATTATGTTACTCATTTAGGCATAGTTATTAGCAATTCTTGGAAGTTCAGAAAAATATTTGTCAAGCTGCTTGAGACACAGAATTTTTTAAAACCAGTAAAGATAAATAACCTATTTTGTCTGTAGCTTGTAAACKCTGCTAAGTAGCCTATCTACATTCCATCAGCATCAGTCATGCAAGTGAGCACTGATGAATGATTTGTACATGTGGCAAAATTTTACAGCGTATTATCTGCAGGTTTTGTAGCAAAAGYTAATTTTGCTGAAAGGCAGTTCTAGGAAAAGAGAAACTTGTTTTCATGTTTACTATTTTTCTGACCTAATTATATGCTAAAACTTCAGGAATGTGGAATATCAACTACAGTTTTCCAGACTCCTCTTTACAGCAAGAGAGAAGCTTCCAAAAACACCCCAACCAAACCCAAGATCCAGTCTAAATTCCTGTTTAAYTGATATATAAGCAAGATGATAAAATGAACAGTCCTAGTGTACAAAGTCAATATAACCATATCCTCAACCATAATTTTGTTTCTAATACCAGGTGTAAAGATTCATGTACTTAAGAAACTCTTCTCACCATCCAGAATGAAAATAAAAGATTCGTTTAAGGGAACAGTCCTGTCTGCAAATCAAACAATATTTTTTAAGGGTGGYATAAAATTCTAATTTCTAAAAGTAGCTAAGCTGAATTCCATTTTAAATAAATGTTTATGCATTTTAGGCATGCTATACATGCCTATTTGGATATTTTTGAAATGCAGAACCCCACTGTCATGATRCATAGCACAAGTACTTCCTAGCTTCTTCCCTAGGGACTGACAATTTCTAAGTCATGTTAAAAAGCGACAGGCAAACGTAGCAAAAATCTCTAATTCAGTACTTCGACACTTTTTGGCCTGGTTTGGTTTTTTATTAGTARCAGTAATAGTTTTTAT